AGTGGGGGACCGCCGCCCCTGGCCCTCCGACGCTCCCCGGCAGCCTGGTCCCACTGGAGCCGGTGGGACCACAAACTCCCCCGACAACATCTGTGGCAGGGAGCCATCGCCACCTTCCTCCATGAAGGGTCCCCTCGCCCCTCAGCAGAGCCCTGGTCCCGGCCCGTTGCGCCCCTCAGCGCTGGCTGGAGCATCTCACATCCCCCTACTGCTCTCTGCTTCCCGAGGCATGATTTTGTCTGCTCGTTTTGTCACTAGCATGCACCAAACGATTTATGAAAACTTTAGGCGCAGTAACAAGATGGAACAAAGCAATTCTGTTTTATAATGTATGTTAAAATGAGGATTGAAATGAAGCCGAACCCGGTGAACTACACTGGCACTTTCCCTGATAAGTTTAACTTCTGTGTTAATTACAGAAGAACCTCTGATTCCAGCCAGGTAATTCCTCCCTCACGAGTGCAGTGGGTGCAATCCGTGCTTCCTAACGGCCTGTCAGTCGTAAAAATGACACTGGATCATGATTCAGATACGCTGCTGGATTAGATACTCTTGTTGGCACAGGAGTAAATAGATTCCATAAAATATCAGAGAGTAAAACTGACACAGGGTGAAGGACTGTGGGGGAAACAGTGTTGGTAGGTTTGCCCTTTGAATTTGCAAAGTGATTCTCTGTATTTCTGTCTTTTCCTCCCTGTTTGTGATGTTCACCTCTGCTTGTTACCGAATCTGCAGCAGCTGTTTTTCAGTTTCCTTCAAACAAAAAAAGGCACAGTGCATAAATGCAAGTTTAAGAGATATCGTGTTATATTTAAGCTGCCAAAATAGACCCCATTTGCAAACAGATATTACAGCCAGGATTTCTATGGAAATACTAATAAAGAGATCTTGAGCCAATTACAATAATTACAGAGCAGTGCTGCCATGTAGACTGAGTATTTCTCCTGGGAGTCTGTCTCTAGGTCATTCTTTGCTTGATAAGCACAAAACCCCAAACTATAAGATGTCTCAGCATGGGGTATATTTCTTGATTCAGAACTTGAAAAACAGCTCGTTCTTTATTTCCAAGCAAAGGTTATAACATTATAGCTATAGCAGCAGTGAAATTAGGTTAATGAACTAAAAATGAAAGAATTAAAGATAAGAGTAAAGGAAGACTGTGGATGTGACAGCCTGGTCAGAGAGCAAGAAAATGGAATTTGTTTTCTCACAATGGACTTGTGAGACTTTTTAGGTAGTTGTAGAGAAATTATGATAACTTGTTAGTATAAACAACCTGCAGGTGTTTTCCTACTCTGTTTTTCTGTTCTTCTCAAAGACTGTTTGTGAAAAAAATGTTTCTGTTAATTAGCCAATCAAGTAGAATGTGTCAAACCTAGTTATAAAAGAAAGGAACTTTCATATTAAAGTGGCTGTTGTGTGAACCAGCCTGCTTGTGGATTTGTGTCATTTCTTGCTCAACAGTGACAAGAAGACTATTTTTAAATTAACCAGTTAAAAATTACCCTGTGAAAAATATTTTTATCCTTGTTTTTCTTGTTTCTTAGAGTTTGTTGCTTGCTGATATCTAGCCATATATTTTATTTAATTTAGTTAATTTCTTTATGAAGTTACAGGATACTTGATGATGAGGTGGTACTGGTCTTTTTAAGGAGCATCTAAGATGAGACCTTTGAACATTTAAAATAAAATAAAATGGACATTTGCTTAAGTCTTTTTATGATGCGTTTGTGGTTTGGATGTGGTCCAAATAAGTTGAAGTCCAAGTAATCTTGTCCAGATAATTTAGGATTCCCTGCTGGATCTGAGAATTTCCTTCCTGTCTGATTTCTGTCAGTTCTTATCCAGATTTGCTTTTAAACAGTATTCATTTAAAGTCAGGCAAAAACTGTAATCCTGCAAGCACTCTTGTGTGTAGCTAGTAGCACTCTAGTTAGTAGCTGTATTCATACAATGTTAGAAGTAAACATGGATGAAGAGATGGCTTAAGGTTTTTCTGCCCTGGGACTCAAATTAATTTTGCCATGAAGGGTAAATGGCTAAAGATGTATTAAGAAGAAAGGGTGACAACATTGGGGGTGGAATCTTCCAGATCGCTGAGAGACTTGTAGAAATCTAATAGAAACAACCAGATTTGTACAAACCTAATTGCTTAGCATAACTGACACAATTGTTTCCTGTTTTACACCTAGTCCAAGCATTATTGAAGAGTGCTTGAATGAGGATTGCAAGACGAGGGGTTACAATTCCTTCCTTATTTAATTTATATTCTCAAATGTTAAACAGAGGCATTGCATTCCAGTATATCACTGGCTAGATGGGATTTCTTGAGTTGGAGAGCTTTCAAAACACCCAAAGGAGAAGTTGTCTGTTTCTTTGAAAAAGGGGTGGGGGAAAGGCAAAAAATACTGGAAATAAAATATGGCAGTCACATGCTGGCTTATCCAGCAGAGGGAGTAGCTTACCAATGTTGGAAATGGCTTTGGAAATCTGCCCGTAGCAAAATTTGTGATAAAAAACCATGTAGGTGTTTGTTATTTAAAATATTGCATGACATGAATTACAATCATAAGTGATGCATTTTTTTTTAATATTGTCAACGGTTAGCCACACCTTGTAAATTACATTTCTGTTAAGAGGATTGAAAAGATGCTAAGGTTCGAATTGGTGTGTTGACTAGTGTTGTAAATATTCAGATGTCTAAACTGAAGACAATGGCTTTTAATTTTGTCTTCACCTTTTCATATTGGTCTTGACTTAGATTAATGGAAACACAGAGCAGTTTGGGTTGGAAGGAACCTTCAAAGAACATTTAGTGCAACCACCCTGCCATGAGCGGCTTCATCAGCTTGCTCAAAATACTGTTCCAGCCTGACTTTGAACACTTCCAATAATGGGGCATCCCAACAACTTCTCTTCAACTGTCTCCAGAGATTGCTCCCAATTTACCTTATTGTCTGATTCTGTTTCTACACAGTGTACTGGTGAGAGCATGGACAGCTTGTTGAGCTGTTCCCTCTACTTGCCTGCCCTGCTGTCTGCCTCTGCAGGGTGAGGGGCAACTTGACAGGCAACTTGCCTTTTTGCTCTTTGTCCACAGCGTGGCTTTGATTTAGAGCCTTCCTCTTTTTCTTTGTCCTCCCACCATGCATCCTGAAAAGCATTCAAGCACAAGCTCTACATTAATTTAGTAACAGCAAGAGGCCATGTCTTGAAAGG